GCACTTTTAGTCGCGTTTTTCGACCTTTTACTGTAGGAAATATAATTATTTTATATTTTTATCTGATTGAGAATTTTCCAATCTTTCATAATCAACAATTCGTTGGTAGCTATCTCTTTTAGTTTAAGAGATATTAATTTTTGAAAATCGTCGAAAAAAAGTATCAAGCACCCCCCCCTTGGCAATTTTTTTCTTAAGACTTAAAATTTTTTCTCTCAAATTTCCCTTTTATCTATCCTATCTGATAGAGAAAATTCAGTAGATTAAGACGCTGCGATCAGATCTTATTTATCTCTTTTAGTTTACGAGATATTCGCGATTGAATAAAATGGGCAAAAATTGCAAAATGTCACTTTTTAGCACTTTTAGTCGCGTTTTTCGACCTTTTACTGTAGGAAATATAATTATTTTATATTTTTATCTGATTGAGAATTTTCCAATCTTTCATAATCAACAATTCGTTGGTAGCTATCTCTTTTAGTTTAAGAGATATTAATTTTTGAAAATCGTCGAAAAAAAGTATCAAGCACCCCCTTGGCAATTTTTTCTTAAGACTTAAAATTTTTCTCTCAAATTTCCTTTTAACTATCCTATCTGATAGAGAAAATTCAGTAGATTAAGACGCTGCGATCAGATCTTATTTATCTCTTTTAGTTTACGAGATATTCGCGATTGAATAAAATGGGCAAAAATTGCAAAATGTCACTTTTTAGCACTTTTAGTCGCGTTTTTCGACCTTTTACTGTAGGAAATATAATTATTTTATATTTTTATCTGATTGAGAATTTTCCAATCTTTCATAATCAACAATTCGTTGGTAGCTATCTCTTTTAGTTTAAGAGATATTAATTTTTGAAAATCGTCGAAAAAAAGTATCAAGCACCCCCCCTTGGCAATTTTTTTCTTAAGACTTAAAATTTTTTCTCTCAAATTTCCCTTTTAACTATCCTATCTGATAGAGAAAATTCAGTAGATTAAGACGCTGCGATCAGATCTTATTTATCTCTTTTAGTTTACGAGATATTCGCGATTGAATAAAATGGGCAAAAATTGCAAAATGTCACTTTTTAGCACTTTTAGTCGCGTTTTCGACCTTTTACTGTAGGAAATATAATTATTTTATATTTTTATCTGATTGAGAATTTTCCAATCTTTCATAATCAACAATTCGTTGGTAGCTATCTCTTTTAGTTTAAGAGATATTAATTTTTGAAAATCGTCGAAAAAAAGTATCAAGCACCCCCCCCTTGGCAATTTTTTTCTTAAGACTTAAAATTTTTTCTCTCAAATTTCCCTTTTAACTATCCTATCTGATAGAGAAAATTCAGTAGATTAAGACGCTGCGATCAGATCTTATTTATCTCTTTTAGTTTACGAGATATTCGCGATTGAATAAAATGGGCAAAATTGCAAAATGTCACTTTTAGCACTTTTAGTCGCGTTTTTCGACCTTTTACTGTAGGAAATATAATTATTTTATATCTTTATCTGATTGAGAATTTTCCAATCTTTCATAATCAACAATTCGTTGGTAGCTATCTCTTTTAGTTTAAGAGATATTAATTTTTGAAAATCGTCGAAAAAAAGTATCAAGCACCCCCCCCTTGGCAATTTTTTTCTTAAGACTTAAAATTTTTTCTCTCAAATTTCCCTTTTAACTATCCTATCTGATAGAGAAAATTCAGTAGATTAAGACGCTGCGATCAGATCTTATTTATCTCTTTTAGTTTACGAGATATTCGCGATTGAATAAAATGGGCAAAAATTGCAAAATGTCACTTTTTAGCACTTTTAGTCGCGTTTTTCGACCTTTTACTGTAGGAAATATAATTATTTTATATCTTTATCTGATTGAGAATTTTCCAATCTTTCATAATCAACAATTCGTTGGTAGCTATCTCTTTTAGTTTAAGAGATATTAATTTTTGAAAATCGTCGAAAAAAAGTATCAAGCACCCCCCCCTTGGCAATTTTTTTCTTAAGACTTAAAATTTTTTCTCTCAAATTTCCCTTTTAACTATCCTATCTGATAGAGAAAATTCAGTAGATTAAGACGCTGCGATCAGATCTTATTTATCTCTTTTAGTTTGCGAGATATTCGCGATTGAATAAAATGGGCAAAAATTGAAAATTGTCACTTTTAGCACTTTTAGTCGCGTTTTTCGATCTTTTACTGTTGGAAATATAATTATTTTATTTTTTTATCTGATAGAAAATTTTCCATTCTTTCATAATCAACAATTCGTTGGTAGCTTTCTCTTTTAGTTTAAGAGATATTAATTATCAATTATTATTAATTATATATTATTATATTATTATTAATTAAAATCGTCGATAAAAGTTATCAAGCACCCCTTGGCAATTTTTTCTTAAGAATTAAAATTTCATTCCTCAGATTTCCGTTGGAAATATAATTATTTTATATTTTTATCTGATAGAGATAGAGAGAAAGGTTAGATGGCGCTACGATGTACGGTTTTGCATTAAATATTGCTTGTTGGTGGTAGTGAGTGCACACCATGTCCGTGTGGATCACGCGATTTCGCGCAAGAGATAAGTTTGTTTACTTGCAGGTATCGAATCTTTATTTCGTGGAATCAAAACACACCGTTGCTGTTTATTATATTAGCATCGTAAATTTAAGCAAATTTTCTTCAATTCTTTCATGAATATGACTAACAATTTTATATTAATTCTAATACATTTTTATTATCAGCAGATTACGGACTAATGTGTTACCTGGTAAACTAGAAACGATGCATGTTCAAATTAATTATCACTTAAATATTTAATGTAAAGTCTGACAATTTGTCAGCATATGAAATCAGAATTACGCAAATCGAATTTTAATTTTTTTACTTTTACTATTCTAAATTTCGAAACTACTGTATCACTTATAGATGGCAATAGCATGGACTAAAAATTGTAATAATAAAAATAAAGAATTGTGTTTGTTTGAGCATAATATACACTTTCTTATCGCATTGCCGTGTGTCGTCATTGCCAGCACCTCACGCCGCATGGTGCTGCATGTTAGTTTAGTTTAGATCGCAAGCATCGTGCCTATTATAATAGCATAATTCATGCACAAGGTCGCGTGGTATCGACGCGCCGGCTTTGCGCATCTATTGCTTTTACCTGCGGTGTTCGCGCAGCATGTACAGATTCTTACTGTGAACTGTCGCATAGCTGCTTGTGCAGTTTCGGTAAGCGCTATCGATGGATTGCAGCCAGTTTCGTGCCGGTCTCTGGCGTATCCAGACGTATTTCGCGCAATGCGTATCGTTTTATCGGATTTCTATTTTATAAGTTTGAATTATATTCGGTTATCAGTCGACTTAGTTGTTATATGCATCTGGAGTGTTTTGTGTTTTGATTAATTGTGTGTTTGATGTTTATATTTCAAATTACAATGCTGCGGTTTTATTGTCGGTTTTGTGATCAACCGAAAACATATTCCTGCTTGAGTTAGTAACTTTATCTGACCATGGCGATATTCAGCACAGAAAATAATTTGTTTTCCATTGTATGAAATGTTTTTGCTTTAACTTATTTATTGAATTGTTCAGGCACTTACATGATGAAACTCTATAATTATCGTAAAATAAAAGGATTTATCGTTTATGTTTTCTTTTAATTTCAGTACATGCCGTACCCTTGCAATCCGATAAGCGCTACATTGGTAAGTTTATAATTAAGTTATATTATTCGGTTAAACGATTGAAGGCCTTTCGTCGTGTATATTTCACTTACTGGTAATATAGAAAAAGGATCCTATTGCGGGAAACCTTTGTGAAATGTTCAAATTTTTCATCGGATTTTGATAGCGCAAGAGGGGTTTTGTTAATTTAGTTGAGTTTCATTCGGTGGTCCGTAGCAGGGTGGCTATAGAAGTGACTCGTGTTGAATGAATGTAATAATTTATCAAATTATTTATTTCAATTTTACGATGTGCAGTGTTATAAATATATTACTCTAGCACTGAAATGAAAATAAGTAATACTTTACTATCCTACACCAATATAAAGCGTAAAGTAACCTTTACACACTACGTTTGTGTCAACTACGCCTTGGAAGTTAAAAAGTATGACATAAAAAGTATAATAAATAAAATTTCATTTTGGTTGCTATTAAGTTAACTAAATTATTCATACAATTATTTATTTCTATTTTAAAAAATGTAGGGTCACAATTATAATACTGTAATACTAAAATACGAATAAATATAACTTTACAGACTTTTAAACGTGTTTTATAAAGTGTAAAGTGCGCTTTACACACCACGAATGCGTTAACTTAGCCTTGGCAGGTTGACACAATTAAACGTAACACATAGTACACGAAGTATATAGTACATCAAACATAAATATATAAAATTTTACTTTTGTTTTTATTATTAATGTAATAACTTATATAATTATTATTTCCATTTTTGAGTGTTATAAATGCATCACCGTTGCACTGAAATAGAAATAAGCAATATTTTATTGTTCTACACACATACAAAGTGTGAAGTAACCTTTACAGAAATGTTTATGTTAAGTGAGCCACAGAAGTTGTACATAAAAAATACTACGCAAAATATACTAATCGTACGATATACTTTCGTCGAAAAACGTAAAACAAATTTTGTGTTTTTCGGTCGGCTAATTTTGTGGTTTTACTGTATAGCGAGCGAACGCAATGTCGTGAGACAACAGTTTTTTCACCAAATTGTAGGTAATAAAATTCTTAATAATTTTCATATATAACTTGTGGGTTTGACCCTCGGGAAACCAACAAAAATGCCCTTTTTGTGTTTTTCGGTCGGCTAATTTTGTCGTTTTTAATGTTTAGTGGGCGAACGCAATGTCGTGGGGCAACAGTTCTTTCACCAAATTGTAAGTATTAAATTTCTTTATAATTTTCATATATAACTTGTGGGTTTGACCCTCGGGAAACCAACAAAAATGCCCTTTTGTGTTTTTCGGTCGGCTAATTTTGTGGTTTTTACTGTTTAGCAGGCGAACGCAATGTCGTAGGACAACCGTTTTTTCACCAACTTGTAAGTATTAAAATTCTTTATAATTTTCATATATAAATTTTGGGTTTAGCCCTCGGGAAACCTACAAAAATGCCCTTTTTGTGTTTTTCGGTCGGCTAATTTTGTGGTTTTTAATATTTAGCGGGCGAACGCAATGTCATAAGATAACAGTTTTTTCACCAAATTGTAGGTATTAAAATTCTTAATAATTTTCATATATAACTTATGGGTTTAGCCCTCGGGAAACCTACAAAAATGCCCTTTTTGTGTTTTTCGGTCGGCTAATTTTGTCATTTTTAATGTTTAGTGGGCGAACGCAATGTCGTAAGACAACAGTTTTTACACCTAATTGTAGATATTAAAATTCTTAATCATTTTCATATATAACTTGTGGGTTTGACCCTCGGGAAACCAACAAAAATGCCCTTTTTGTGTTTTTCTGTCGGCTAATTTTGTGGTTTTACTATATAGCGGGCGAACGCAATGTCGTAGAACAACCGTTTTTCACCAACTTGTAAGTATTAAAATTCTTCATAATTTTCATATATAAATTTTGGGTTTAGCCCTCGGGAAACTAATAAAAATGCGCTTTTTGTGTTTTTCGGTCTGTTAATTTTGTCGTTTTTAATGTTTAGCGGGCGAACGCAATGTCATAAGATAACAGTTTTTTCACCTAATTGTAGATATTAAAATTCTTAATCATTTTCATATATAACTTGTGGGTTTGACCCTCGGGAAACCAACAAAAATGCCCTTTTTGTGTTTTTCGGTCGGCTAATTTTGTGGTTTTTACTGTTTAGCGGGCGAACGCAATGTCGTAGGACAACCGTTTTTTCACCAACTTGTAAGTATTAAAATTCTTTATAATTTTCATATATACATTTTGGGTTTAGCCCTGGGGAAACCTACAAAAATACCCTTTTTGTGTTTTTCGGTCGGCTAATTTTGTCGTTTTTAATGTTTAGTGGGCGAACGCAATGTCGTAAGATAACAGTTTTTTCACCAAATTGTAGGTATTAAAATTCTTAATAATTTTCATATATAACTTGTGGGTTTGACCCTCGGGAAACCAACAAAAATGCCCTTTTTGTGTTTTTCGGTCGGCTAATTTTGTGGTTTTTATTGTTTAGCGGGCGAACGCAATGTCGTGGGGCAACTGTTCTTTCACCAAATTGTAAGTATTAGATTTCTTTATAATTTTTATATATAACGTGTGGGTTTGACTGTCGGGAAACCTACAAAAATGCCTTTTTTGTGTTTTTCGGTCGGTTAGTTTTGTGGTTTTTATTGTTTAGCGGGCGAACGCAATGTCGTGGGGCAACCGTTCATGTACTAAATTGTACGGTGCTTTGAATGGGAGTCACTTCTACCGCTACCTTCGTACAGTGCCCTAAATGGGAATCTTTATGGATCCTGTAAGAATAATTCATTTAAGTTATGTATATGTATATTTCATTTACATAAATATTTTCCAGTTGTTGGATGAAGAATTGGCTAATCTGAGATGGCCAAGTTTATCAATAAGGACCAAGTGGAGAGGTTCCGTGGTACTGGTAGAGTGCGTATTCAGGAAGATGAATGTGTCAACTGGACTAAATACCAAGAATGTATGTTATATTTTGGCAATTTATAATATTTTATATTTTACTATTCTGTTATTCATTCTGGTTTATAGTGTCTAAGAAATTGAAGATTGGATTGCCGGTGATGATGATGATTCCAAATACGATTGAATGAATTTACATAATTTTGTAGCTGTTATTGATATCATTTTTGTTTATTTTGTTAAAAGTTATAAACAGAGCATTAAATAGTAATATTGTTATCCTGTTTTCTTGCTTGTATTGTTAAAAATGTTGTATATAACATATTAAGAAATTGAGTTTCTAATTCTACATGTTTGAATAAAATTGTTTTTTTATAAATTTTTATTGTTTTATTTGTTCCAAACGGAGAACATAGCACGCAACATCGTTACTCCTTTAATTAATCCATAAATCCCTTAAACATTTATGGAAATGCCGCTGCTAGATATGAGAAATAGTTCAAAATCAATTTTATATTGTATCAATATTAATTTAAAAACGGTACCACTAGTGTCATCTATCCACGAGTATCTAAACTACGTCGCTATTCAAGAGATTTAGCCTACTGCACTTTCTGCGATCCTAATATTCAAAAGAATTTTGTTACCAATTTCAATGGATTTTCTCGACAAAATTTGTCGACAATTTTGCTGAAATGTTGCTGCTCATCAGACATTGGGAACGCAGAAAGTGGACATAGATAGTTTCCGTCAAATTATTATATACCTATATTATTTCAGTTTGTTTCAGTACATTTTCAATTTTTTCTATAAAATTGCAAATAGGGCCTAAGCAGTTAATGCTAGCAAAAAAAAATACCAAAATAATTGATGTAGAATTAAATTGGCTATCAGAATTCGAAAACAGAATTTAAAAATTCCAACTTTTAATTTCGACCATAAAAAAGAGAAATATTTTGCCATTTTTTTTATAAAATCTTTTCTTTAAAAATTTATTGTGCCATTTTGATGATTTTTCAATAATGATGCCACCTTGTAGAGAATTTTTCAAGGATCAATACAATGTAGTTCTTAATTTTCTAGCCCTCTTAGTTGTCGAGATCCTTCAGAATTTGAAAACCGAATTTTATGAATAAAGATTTTTAAAAATTCAGTTTACCCGCCATTACTAGTTACCGCCTTTAATTACTTACCTCCTCACCCTTTCTGCGATCCGAATACCAAAACCTGAGTTTCGACTGTTTCGAGTCCAAATTTTGTGTCATTTTGCTCCCAGAGTCGACAAAATAAAGATTGAATATTAGGATCGCAGAAAGTTGAGAAGGCTGATAAAGTTTCGGCGGTAACTAGTAAGGTGCTGCCTCTAGTGGCAACGGACCGAAGCTCAAAACTTTCGGTTGTTGATTTCTAATTGATAGATGGCACTAGCATGCACTTTTCAAAATAAATGGTTTAAGGGATCGTTAAATATGTTATCAGGTAGGAATAACAGAAATAATTACAATTAGAGAAACTTTATATATTTATATATATTCTTTATTAAAAAACACACAAGCATAAATTTTGGGACTCAATTTGTGTAATAATTACAAAAGTTATTTAAGATAATGATAAAGAAATTTAATACTAACAATCAGATGCAAAAATGGTCCTTCTCCGATGTCAGACTCAGGTGCAAAATCCCTAAAACCCAAAAAAATTAGTCTTTTGAACATAAAAATGCAATTTTGGGGGTCAATTTGTGAGATAATCACAAAAGTTATTTGGGAATATGATAAAGGAATTAATTACTTACAATCTGATCCAAGAATGGTCTTTCTACGATGTCAGACTCGGGTGCAAAATCCCTAAAACAAGCAAAAATTAGCCCTTCGAACATAAAAATGCCATTTTGTGGGTCAATTTGTAAGATAATCACAAAAGTTATTTAGGAAAATGATAAAGGAATTAATTACTTACAATCTGATTCAAGAATGGTCTTTCTACGATGTCAGACTCGGGTGCAAAATCCCTAAAACAAGCAAAAATTAGTCCTTCGAACATAAAAATGCAATTTTGGGGGTCAATTTGTGAGATAATCACAAAAGTTATTTAGGAATATGATAAAGGAATTAATTACTTACAATCTGATCCAAGAATGGTCTTTCTACGATGTCAGACTCAGGTGCAAAATCCCTAAAACAAGCAAAAATTAGTCCTTCGAACATAAAAATTACATTTTGTGGGTCAATTTGTAAGATAATCACAAAAGTTATTTAGGAAAATGATAAAGAAATTTAATACTTACAATCTGATGCAAGAATGGTCCCTCTACGATGTCAGACTCAGGTGCAAAATCCCTAAAACAAGCAAAAATTAGTCTTTCGAACATAAAAATGCAATTTTGGGGGTCAATTTGTGAGATAATCACAAAAGTTATTTAGGAATATGATAAAGGAATTAATTACTTACAATCTGATCCAAGAATGGTCTTTCTACGATGTCAGACTCGGGTGCAAAATCCCTAAAACCCTAAAAATTAATCTTATGAACATAAAATGCAATTTTGGGGTCAATTAGAGAGATAATCACAAAAATTATTTAGGAATATGATAAAGGAATTAATTACTTACAATCTGATGCAAGAATGGTCCTTCTACGATGTCAGACTCAGGTGCAAAATCCCTAAAACAAGCAAAAATTAGTCCTTCGAACATAAAAATGCAATTTTGGGGGTCAATTTGTGAGATAATCACAAAAGTTATTTAGGAAAATGATAAAGGAATTAATTACTTACAATCTGATCCAAGAATGGTCTTTCTACGATGTCAGACTCGGGTGAAAAATCCCTAAAACCCTAAAAAATTAGTCTTTTGAACATAAAAATGCAATTTTGGGGGTCAATTTGTGAGATAATCACAAAAGTTATTTAGGAAAATGATAAAGAAATTTAATACCTACAATCTGATGCAAGAATGGTCCCTCTACGATGTCAGATTCAGGTGCAAAATCCCTAAAACAAGCAAAAATTAGTCCTTCGAACATAAAAATGCAATTTTGGGGGTCAATTTGTGAGATAATCACAAAAGTTATTTAGGAATATGATAAAGGAATTAATTACTTACAATCTGATCCAAGAATGGTCTTTCTACGATGTCAGACTCGGGTGCAAAATCCCTAAAACAAGCAAAAATTAGTCCTTCGAACATAAAAATGCAATTTTGGGGGTCAATTTGTGAGATAATCACAAAAGTTATTTGGGAATATGATAAAGGAATTAATTACTTACAATCTGATGCAAGAATGGTCCTTCTACGATGTCAGACTCAGGTGCAAAATCACTAAAACAAGCCAAAATTAGTTCTTGAAAACACAAAGATATTGGAATTAATTTGATAGGACATTAGGTTTTATCAATCAGGTAGTACTTACTGTTAGGTTTTTGAAGCAATTTCCTGTCCCACACCGCATCCTTGAATCATCCTCGATCTTCTTTATATCTTCGATGCACTCCCAATAATGGTTTCATACTTCAACCAATATTAATCAAACTGAGGTTAAGTCTTCCAACGTTGTACAAGCAAAACTGTACTTGGTAAACACAAAAATAGAATTAGCTATCATATCTAAAACGTGGGACAAAAGAAGTACTGAATTTATTTTTTTACTTTACATGACCTTAAAGATTTTGAAAAGGAACCAAAATCATATGTTACTGAAAATTTAAATAAAATACACACTTTATACCCGTGTGAATAGGTCCTTGCCAGAACTTAGTCACCATCTTAATGTGATTATTAATAAAAGCATTAATTAAGATGATGGCCACCCCCGCGACGTGGACGCGCCTGACAAGAATTACCCAGGTGGAAAGTTTTCAAATATCAATCCCCTGAGCCGGGTTAATGTTATCGCGATTATTTTTTAATAAATCAAAGCAAATAATCGAGATAACAATGGCAAAAATGTGTTCATCGGCTGCACCGCCCTTCCGATATGTGTAAGGTATGTGTAATGTGTGTGTATGTGTTAGTGTAGTGTTGGTTGTGTAGTGTCTGTCGCTCGCGATGGACATGCAACCCGATTGTCCATTATATCAAATTTATAATTATGAATATGATTATATGATGACGAACGCGGCGACCACCCCCAGAGGTTCCAGATGGGTGCAGTCTCTGTCCTCACCTCTAAAGGCAGTTTGTTGATTGATGCGGAGACATGCAGTATTTGTTTAATAAGAATTATGTTGCGCCCTTGATTACCCTCAAAAGCATTTATCTTCGAGGGTTGTATGGAGCTCGCGGTAGACGCGGCGCGGTTGTTTAAACTCAAATATAGATAATTTTTAATAATGTTGTTCGCAAAAGAATCGACTCGATTTTATTTGTGTAAAATTCGCGATATTGAAACGAAATGATACTACCCATGCCCCGTAACCCTCTTGCTGGACCTCGACGTTGGCAGAAATTGTTCCTTCCTAAAACAATAAATATATTGTAGAAGTTGTTAAAGTAGACAAAATAAGGTTATTTATTTATTTTCAACTATCTACAGTTGAAAATAGATACGTGATAAAACTGAATAATAACCAAAAATAAAGTCAACTTACATCTATGAATTATAGGAATCAGCGGCAGTTGGTAATGATAACTGATTGCATTTCAATGTTCATTTTGCAGTCCACTATAACTACAACTAGGACTACAACTACAACTAATACTACGACTACGTGCATTCTACTACTACACTACGAACTGCTCGTGAACATATGAAACACAATTCAAAGTTATCTATCTCATTCTGAGATTTTATGATTCATTATTTTCTTCTTTATTCTTCTTTGTAGAATTAGATATCTTCCATTTTTTTTCTTAGTCTTTTTCACTCTTCTATTTTCTATCTTCTTAGTCTTCTGCATTTTTCTATTTTCTTTCTTCTTAGTCTTTTTCACTCTTCTATTTTCTTTATTCTTAGTTTTCTTCACTCTTCTATTTTCTTTCTTCTTATTCTTCTTCACTCCTCTATTTTCTATCTTCTTAGTCTTTTTCACTCTTCTATTTTCTTTCTTCTTAGTCTTCTTCTCTCTTCTATTTTCTTTCTTCTTAGTCTTCTTCACTTTTCATTTTTCTTCACAAAACTAAGAAAAACAAAAAATACAAAGGCAATTAAAAAATGTATAGTTAATGTGTATGTTGATGCCCTATGCCCCCCTATACTTGAAACCTCATCTTCATCCCCAGAGAAATGATGCCATCATCCAACTTCTGTAAATAATTTTATAAATATTCATGAATACGTAATTTATTTTACATCAAATAAGTAATTGAAATCATGTTAATATTAAAATATTATTACGAAAATTAATAATATTGTGAGTAGAATTTAATTGATATTAATTGTAAATTCACTCACCTCAGCATCTTGGCGACTGTTCATACCCTTGGAGGCAGCAGCCCATTCCTTGATGGGTATACACATCGAACCCTGCCCCCAAAAGCTTCTTTTTGTTGGGAAGCTGGATACATCAGAATCGATCTCGGCATGAATAGATCTGCACCACATCGGCTTCTTCTTCAGCTACGGTTAACAATAATATAATAAGTAAATAAAGTTATGTAATAAAAAATTAATTCTTACAACACTCACCTCAGTTACTTTCCGGCTTTGCAGGGGTAGGAACCCATTCCTTGATGGGTATACACATCAGGCCCTGACCCTTGGTGGTCAGCTGGACAACTGGCTAATTTGTGATCGTTAGGATCAACCTCGACGTAGACGGTTCACATCTTCTTCTTTGACTTCTGTTAACAGTCAAAAAAATAAAATAAAATATTATTACGACCAAATATTAATGTATTCCCCTAGAGACAGCAGCCCATTCCTTGATGGGTATACCCATCGAAAGTTCATGAAAGTTCTAGAAATAGAAATAATTATTTTAAAATGTATTAATATTGAATTATTTGTATTAGTTGTTTGTTAAATTATTGCAATAAAACTCACCTCAGTTTCTTTCCAGTGTGACATACCCCTGAAGGCAGTAGCCCATTCCTTGATGGGTATACACATCGGGCCCTGACCCCCAAAGGCGGAAAGATAGCTGAGCTGAGATCTTCAGGATCAACATCGGCGTTAGTGGAACTGCATCACATCGGTCTCTTCTTCTTCGTCTTCAGCTGAAATTAACATCAATAAAATAAGTAAATAAAAAATCTTGTGATAAAAAAATGATTGTAATAAAACTCACCTCAGTTTCTTTCCAGTTTTGCATACCCCTAAGGGCAGTAGCCCATTCCTTGATGGGTATACACATCGGGCCCTGACCCCCAAAGGCGGAAAAATAGCTGAGCCGAGACATTCACGATCAACCTCGGCGTGGACGAATCACATCTGCTTCTTCGGCTTCCTCTGCTAACATTAAAAAAATAATATATATATATATATATATACATATACGTGAAAATATATATTATTGCGACCAAACATTTATTGTAAATGTAACTCACCTCAACTTCTTTTGAAATGTGCCTTATATCAATAAAACGCCCATCTGTTCTTGGCCCTCGGATGGAAGGATCTTCTTGTTTCGCATTCAAAAACGAAACATAACAACGTGCAACATGACAATTTCAAACAGTGACTTTCGTGCAATCGTGCAAACTGTTGATCTGTAAAGAAATTATTAAATATTTCACGACACTCCCGCACTCGCACTAACACTTGTATAACGGCCCGCACAATATACTTCAACACTCGTGCACTATTAATAATTCACAACACTTCACTATAAGTTGATATCAGCATTTAACCGTTTCTATTTTTATTTCATTTCTCTTTCTGAGATGTATCCAATTCCATTTATTTTCAGTTGAGGTTGATATTTTTCTTGATAAGTTTCTTCTTCTGAGGTTTTGTCTTCTTTCTTCTGTACTTCTAAATAGTTGTTGATTATTTTAAAACACTATATTAACACACTCGCGCACTATATAAAACACACAAACAAAATTATTTATCACAGTTGCTATTCATATCCAATTCCAATTTTCAATTTGATTCAATTTTTCCAATTTTCTCTTTGTATCTAACTTGAAGTTCATTCTATAGTTGTTACAGTTAATTCAGGATTCATAATATCTTCGACTTCTCGTTTCTCGTTTCTTCGTTCGGAATAATTCGGTTGGCTGATATTTTTCATTTTCTTAATCTTCATACATCTTTGGGAAAATTCTCCATCTGCTTGATTTCTTCGTGTCTTATTATAAATGATGCTATTTGAAGTTGGCTGCTTGTAAATGTTTTCTCGAGAAAATAAAATCTAATACAATCTTTGAGTATCATTCTTCATTTTATTCGGTTCCTATTGTTGCTGACCCAATGTTGTTTGGTTTCAATTTATGTTATTTATGATGATGTGAAATATATGTAAGTGTAGTTGTGTTAAAAATGTAAGGTAAGATGTGCCGAAGCACACCACTACCCAAGAACCCTGACAATGATCATGAACAGGGTAGAAAGTGTAAGTGTATGTGTGTGTGTGTATGTAAATGTAAAAACTGATGAAATTCTATTTTCACTCCCGCACTATAATTCAAAACTCGCGCACTATATAAAAACACTCCCGCACTATTAATAATGCACATCACTGCACAAAAGTTGATACGTTGAAAATGTGATATGTAGGTGATTTTGTGTTAAAAATGTAAGGTAAGATGTGCCGAAGCACACCACTACCCAAGAACCCTGACAATGATCATGAACAGGGTAGAAAGTGTAAGTGTATGTGTGTGTCTACGAAGTATAAAAACTGATGAAATTCGATTTTCACTTCCGCACTATAATTCAACACACGCGCACCATATAAACACACTCGCGCACTATATAAAAATGCACAAACACAATTATTTATGACAGTTGATACTTTTAGTTGTTTTTGTTAATTCAGGATCCATTCTATCTTCGACTTCGTTTCTCGTTTGGAATAATTCAGTCCGCCAATATTTTCTATTTTCTTAATGGAATCCACGTACATCTTGCGGAAAATTCTTCATTAGATTGGTTTCTTCGTTTCTCATTTCTACAATCAATTCCATCCATTTAAGATCTTCTTCCTTTGGCATACTGCAGAAATCCTTTCCCATCATATCAAAATCCTGTTTCTTAAATTCTCTTTTTTATCCATTGATGAATAATGATGGATTGACATTTCCAGCAGCTAAGCATTCAGCTTATTGGAATTCGCTTTGAGCGGTTTTTCATAAATTTTAACAGTTTTTAATAAGACACAAGGACTAGTAATATATGATTATTAATACACTCAATCAATGATTCTACCAGTTCACCAAGCACTTCGAATACCTGTATCAAACAAACAAGCAAACAAAGTTGTGATTAGTAAATTTCAAGAATAGAACACAAAACAGCATAGAACATCCACAACGGCCTAGCATCCAGGATCCTGCAACATAAATTAAAATATTAGTAATCAATTCAAACAAAACGCCCTGAAAACATAGAAGAAATATTTAATTAGTTGCTGAAAGAAAAACATAATTCATTAGTAAGGATTTTTTGGATTTTTGGAACTCATTCACACACAATACAAATACATAATAAAAAAATAGCACAAATAACAATAAAAAATACAAAAAAT